CGGGCTCCTGGCGGAGGAGGGGCAGGGCTGGCCGCTTTCTGGTGGGAACTTTCCTGTCCGCAGATAAGGAGGGTCTGGCTGGTCCAGCCTGCAGGCTCCCACGTCGCCCGACCTTTATCGCTCCCGACAGTGTGATAGACTCGTGCGTCGCGTTTCTGGACTGTGTCCCTGAACTGTCAGACTCTCAGCCCCTCGGGGGACAGCGATCTTGAGGCTGGCATGGGTGTGGCCTGGACAAAGCCGGTGCTCTGTAAGTGTTGAATGAGTGAGGGAGTGAGTGAGTGAATGAATGAATGATGTGCTGCACTTGCTCTGTGTGTCTGTCTGTCTCCGTCGCCCTGTCGCTCTCCCACGCCTCTCCCAGGCTGCCTTTCCTCCAACGGGGCCAGTCTCAGCTGGCCCCGTACTGCTCCGCCGCCCGCCCCCGGTTCCCAGGAGATTCCTGGCGGGGCCCAGCTCCCCCATCCTCAGACCAGCGGCGGCCGGAAAGCGGGGCGAGTCTGGCTGCGGCCACCTACGATGGGACCGGCATGCCCTTTCGCCCCGGCTACTCCAGGCCCTGCAGACCGTGGGTGGGGGGCACCCCAGGAGCGACGGGCCAGAGACCAGGGATGGAGGTCTGTTAGGGGGCGCCCTTGTGAGAGGGACACCGGGGCTGGACCGTGCCCGGGTGTAGCCCCTGAAGACTCCGGCACTCAAACCCGGCTGTTCGGGTGGGCGGGACCGCTCCAGACCAATTCAACCAATCAAAGGCACGCGCGGGGACAACGCAGCCAATAGGGCTGGCGCAGGGATGACGTTAACCCTTCGGTACTCGGTTCCCCAAAGCCCCGCGGATCCACCCCGATAGAGTAAGTTCTGAAGATCCCCTGCGCGACCGAGCCACGCCTGGCACCCAGCAGGAGCTCCGCCAATGACGTCCTTCTGCAAAGGGGAAGCCGCGCCCCAGGGTGATGGGGTGGCCGCTTCACACCTCCCAGACGGCATTCTCACCTCCCTCAGCTTGGCAGGCCAGAGTAGGGGTTCTTCCTGCTGGCTGCAGACTCTGGCTCTGCATTCTCCACTCTCGCTGCCTGCTGCCTCGGAGTGCCTTTCCCCCACAGATGGGGATCCTTGGGATCTGGAATATCAGATTTCAGGAGTCCCCTGACCGCTCTAAGTACGACTCTGCACCCGTGGCCACAGTTTAAAAACCCAGATTGCCTTCCTCTCTGCTCCAAATCCTCCCATGGCTCCCTATGTCTCAGTACATAACCCAGTTCTCACCATCGCTCACAAGGCCCTATAGTCTCTCTTTACTCCCATGCCCCGCCCCCCTGCTCCAGCCCAGCGGTCACCTCCTCAGAGAGGCCTTTCTTGATCTGACATCTCGAAAATAATAAATAAAGTTAAATAAGATCTTGCTTTAAAAAAAAAAAAAAGCTGGGACCAGCAGTTGGCATAATGGCTATGTTGCTGGACTCCCATGTAGTTGATGTGGTTTGAGTCCCCGAATTGGTGGCTTAAACTCACGCTGGGCGCATGTGTGTGTGTGCCCAAGATCCCAAGAGGAGAATGGAGGAGAAGGGATTGCAGCGTGCCCATCCCCCCGGAAGGTGATTTCTTGCTTTCTGTCTCTCTGTCTTTCTGGTGAGCTCACGCACCCTATAACAAAAACCTCTCCAGAAAAAGAAACAGAAAAAAAAAAGAAAATGCTCAGGATCTGGAGCCAGGCTCAACCACTTTGAGGACCTGGACAAATGACACCGCCTCTGAGCCTCAGTGGCCTTATCTGTAAAATGGAGGTAGTAACAGTGCCCACTCCCAGGGCTACTGCTGGGGAGAGAAGTAGCAGTCAGGCCAAAGTTCAAGCATACAGGAAGCCCCCATAAAGGTAAGCTCAGGGACTGTGGCACCACCACTGTCTCCCCACAGAGAAGTTAGGAGCCTATCAGCCCTGGCATCACCCTCACCCCAGCCCATCCCCACTCCCACCCCCAGGCGAAGCTGCTTCTCTTCCCCAGCTAAGGGCGCTGGGGCTTCCCAGCTCCCGCCTCAGCCCGCAGCTGCGCCCCAGCAGCGAGCCCTGCCTGAAGCAAGCCTGGGCTGGCACACCTGTCCTGCCGGTTCTGGGGCCAGGGCCCTCACCCACAGGGGCTGCCGCGCCCGACCCAACCTGTACCTCCCAGAGGACAAAATGCCTCCCATGGTGCCCTCAGACCCCCAAATCTGCCCAGGGAGCCCGGAGTCTGCCGCAGGGTTCCCATTCCTACCCTGCGGCCTTGCCGTGGCGCAATCCTGAAATGTGAATCTGGCCAAGGGAAGGTGCAAAGCGACAATCTTCCCATGGCCAAGGACTGACGCAGTCAGGACTCTGGGGTCTCAAACTGGAGGCAGGAGAGCCCGTTCTGTCTGTCGTCAGCTCAGTGAAGATTCTTCCTTCAAAAGTAATCTGGAGGGGAACCAGCAGTTAGCGCAATGGCTATGTCGCTGGACTGCCATGTAGTCGACCGCGGTTCGAGTCCCAGACCCTGTGGTTTAAACTCACGC